GCTGCTGGAGGTGGGGTAGGCTGCATGGCTGTAGGGACAGGCCTTGAGCCCCGGCGCCACGGCAGGCGCCTGGCTGGCGCACTCTGGAGAGAGAGCAAGGCCGGAGTGCTTGTCACCTGGAAGGAAAGCAGAGCTAGGGCTGGCTCCCAGCACCCTCTACCTTTGCAAAGGGACCCCGGCATCCCATTGGCACTGGCATTCAGAGGCCCAGCCTGCCTACCCCTGCCCACCAGCTGGGTGCCCACAAGAAAACCACCAAAGCCAAGGATGGGGCAGAAAGCTCTGCTCAACCCCACAGCCAGCTTCAACTCACCTAGTGCAGCAGGGGGGGCCCCGAGGGGGCTGCCCTGTGCGGCCCCGTTGGTGTGCTGTGAGTTCCAGAGGCCCGAGAGCTTGTGAGCAGACAAGAAAGAGCTGGGGTCCCAGTCCCCTGAGTTCCCATGGCATGAGGAAGAAGAAGAGGAGGAGGAGGAGGAAGAGGAGTGGGAGCCACCCCCACAAGACTGCGACTTGCAGGATGTGTGGGATAACGAGACCTGGCAAGGAAAACACAGAGTGAAGCAACAGCAGGCTGGGAGGGGAGGCCCTTGACCCCAGGGCAGCAGCACTGAGACCCACTCCACTGCCCTAAGGCAGGGGCTCAGCACACAGGAACTGCTCCTGTCACTGTCTCAGGGGTGGCAAACAGCCGGTCCATCCAACAGCAACACAGCCTGGCTCGAGGGCTCCTGCCAGCATGGCTGTGCCAAGGGCCACACGCCTGCTCTGGTCCCGCTCAAACTAGTCCAGGGTTAAATAAAGCCACGCAGGAGGGAGCTTCTCTTCCCCTGAGCTCCACGCACGCACAGGCAAGCACTTGTCCTGGCACACGCTGCTGCCCTGGGGAGACCCGATGTAACAGCATGGACCAGCCTTGGGGCCAGAGGGGGGACATGGCACAACACACAGTGGAGCAGGGCTGGCAGAGAAGCAGCAGCTCCAACATAACACAGGCTGCTGGACAAGACTCTATGACGCTGTGCTCTGCCCCACCATGGTCTCACCCCAAGGAGACGGCAGCAGCCCTGCGGAGGGCAGCATGGCTGCAGCGAGCAGCGAGGCTGGGATGTCCGAGGCGCTCAGCTCTGAGGGAGAACGGGACCCGCACACCCAGCCAGCACCATAGGGTGGTCAACATCATGGTCCCAGGAGTCACAGCCCTGGCCTTTCCAACCCCAGCTCCATAACAGCTTACCGCCAGGGCCTGCTCCCGCACTGC